CTGAATTGACTGGGCAGGTTATCATGGCCAATCCACCTAACCTGCACATCTTTGGATCGTGGGAGGAAACTGGAGCACCTGGAGTAAACCCACACAGACATGGGGAGAATATGTAAACTCCGCACAGACGGTCACCCAAGGGTGGAATCGAACTTGGGTCCCTGGCGCTGTGAGTCAGCAGTGCTAACCACTGAGCCACCATGCCGCCATTCCTGATATTGGGCAATTTTATTTGCATTTTCAGTGTCAATATAGAAAACATACGAAATTACCACATCTCAGAATATAAGTCGATCTCTGCAACTTTGAAAACTCCTCTCTAAAATGAGTGGATCAGCCTATTGGCTCAGTATACGTTATGAACTATCTGCATTCAGGTATGCGGTTGCCATTTTGAAATGTGAAGAATTTCTGCTTGTCAGTCACTAAGCGCAGTCTGCTCTGTGCAGGTGTTTAGTCAACTACTGCACATCTTCTTGGCTCTACAGCCCGTACGACCTCAATAATCCCATGCACCAACTATCTCCACAGAAAACCTGAGGTCAATGCCAAAAATAACGTGGCCCTAAACGTGCAGTTATTAGTGAACAAACAGGGAGGTTTGAGTCATCAAGTATTGGCCTAAACATCCACTTTGGTGCCTAACAAAATGGGGCTGTCTTACACATGAGGTCAACTTATACAATGCAATCTATGGCAGCTGGATAATGGAGACTGGAGTCTCTACTGGAAACCGCCAGATACCCATGGACTAGAAATTAGTTGGGGATGTAAGCATTAACAGGAGGTTTTGATTTGACCACCATTACAAACACTGCCGGATAGTCAGTTCAGTCGGTTAGCTCAGTTGGCTGAATGGCTGGTTTGCGATGTACAGTAAAGTCCAATAGCTAAGGTTCAATACCGGTGTTGGAGGAGGTTATCATGACGGTCTTACCTTCTCAACATCGCCTGTCGCCTGAGCTGTGGTGACCCACTGGTTAAACTCACCACTAATCATCCCTCAAATGAGACAGCAGCCCGCTGGGATTATGGTGACCTTACTTGCTTCAGGCAGTGAATTTTAATGTGTGACTTATAAAATACTGCCCGCTTCACAATCATGTCCATGTCCAATGGTTAGGATATTTTAAAACAAGTAAAGCTTTTGAATGTTTCCAATATTTCAAAGTGAAGGGTAAGTTTAGATGATTTAAGTTGAAGTTGGGACAAACTGGCCAGTGTTATTTTATGGATACTCACTCTCAGCACTCGCTTATACATTTCTACAGTTCCTTGACTGCAGACCTTAAAGCATGTTGCAACATTCATGACATCCTTAAGGGCTGATAACTTCATTAAATTTTTTTTATTTCTCTCTGGTACCATTTTTACAACCATGCAGTCAATCCAGGCGGAGAGATGACATTGAAGGTCTTGGCTTCCTGTTACTCGGAAAGACAACATGAATTTATCTTCTCATAACATAAAACTAAGTGGAAATTATGATATCCTCCAAATAAGTAATAGTCTAGCTGCCTGACAAGGGGAATAGCTTTCATATTGACAGCCAGACTGTCCAAAACGTATTGTGACATTCTCAACCCTTCCGAAAATGGGTCTTTTTTTTAAAAAAAAACTGTCTATCGTTTGACAAAATTACTGACAGAACTCATTCAGAAACACGGTTAAAAGGCAAAATCAAAAGGTTCACGTTTGTACTGTGTGATGAAGCCATGGACCTTGAAATTGATCTGAAGAAGGCTTCCGAGCAATGGCAAACCTGGACATAACTGAGTGGGTCTGAATTTGCAATCACTACTGAACTGAATTCATTGACTTTAACTCGGAGTTTCAGATTTCTGTGTTTAGCCTCAGCTCTATTGAAAGCGAAAGTGACAGGATGGACAATGAATGAGAGGAAAAGCATCATCCAAGCTGAACTCGCTGAGATTATTGCTGGGTACAGACAGGAGGATAATGGGTCATCTTTTGTGAAGCATATTAGGAATTCAACCAGAGAGTGTAAGACGTCAGGGCTGGGACCTGTATAACAGCACTGCCCTTTATCAGAAGGGTCCTCAGCAACAGCCCTCCCCTTTAACAGACGGATCAGAAACAGACAGGTACCAACTTAAGGCAAAAGAATCAACGGCAGCGAAGACTTTTTTTTAAATACAGTGAGCGGTTAGGATCTAGAACATCCTGCCTAAGAGTGTGCTGGAGGTAGGTTCCATCAAGGCTTTCAAGACAGAACTGCATCATTACCTGAAGAGAAAAGATTGACAGAGCCATAGTTTGAGCTGAGTTGCTCACCTAGAGAGCTAACACAAGCAGGAGGAGCCCAATTGGCCTCCTTCTACGCTGTAGCCATTCTGTGCTTCTACATCTGCTGAAGCACAAGGTGACTTGTTTGTTAAGGGAACAGAGGGGCCACATTCATGGCTTCAGAATGGCTCGTTGCCTTCCCGGTGCTAAGATCAGGATGCCACTAAGTGGATATAGGATATTCTTCGGGAAGCAGTGGGACAGCTAGAGGCTGTGGTTCTTGTGCCAAAGACTTAGGGAGGAAGAGCAGAGCGGTCCTGCAATCAGAAATTAGGTAGCAAATTAGAAAGCAGAACCTCAGATACAGTTCTCCCCAGATTACCCTCAGTGGTACGTACAAATGAATACAAAAACAAAAAGGGTAAGGCAGATGAATGTCTGGCTGGGGAGATGGTGGAGAGGGAAGGTTTTAGATTCCTGGGACACTGGTTTTGCAGAAAATGGTACCTGTTTAATATGAACGGGTTGCACATGAACAGAGCTAGGACTGAGTTCCTTACGGAGCTCTTTGCTGGTGCCACTGGGAGGGACTTAAACTAACTGGTGGGAACCAAGAGAAAGTACCAGAGAGGAATGTCACGGTGCACAAAATACTCGGACAGACAGAGGATATTATCATAGAGTATGGGAAGTCAACCAGTGAAGTCAGAATAAACAAGAAAGTAACAAAATCTAACTGAGGCTTACTGAGCATTAATGTGAGTGCATGGAGTATAGTTAATAAGATTGGAGAATTGCAGGCACTGATTGTCAAGTGGAAATGTGGTATTGTGGCAATTTCAAACTTGGCACAAGGAAATGCAAGACTGGGTATTAAATATTGCTGGGCACATGGTGTTCAGGGAAAGTAGAAAAAGGGGAAGGCTGGTAGTATTGGTTAAGGAGGGCAATGCAGTGCAGTAGAAAGAGGTTATCCCAGAAGGTTCAAGGACAGAGCCAAGTAGCCTAAAGTATAGGGACAAAATGGATACAATTACATTGCTCAGTGTCATCTACAGACCACAGCTAATGGGAAGAATGTTCAGAAACAAATTGGCAGGAAAATTACAGCAAGATACCAACATCATTCAGTAGTTACAATGAAGTTATTTAACATCCAAACATAGACTGTGATATTGGTAGCGTCAAGGGTGGAGAGGGGCATATATTCCTAGATTGTGTTTAGAAAAATTTTTAACAACATGACTTGTCAAGTTCAACAAGAAACGATGCACTGTTGAACCTGGGGTCCTTGGTAATGAAGGGAGCCAAACAGATCAATTGTCAGCGGGAGAACATTTCTGTGAACAGTGATCATTGCAACCCAAAAGGACAAAAAGCAATCCAGGGTAAGAATAATTTAACCGGGTGGTAGCCAACTTCGTGTGGCAAGGACAGAGCTGGACCAGATTGGCTAGAATAAAATTTTGGCAAGAGAGAAAGTTAGTTGAACAATGGGCCCTCTTCAAAAAGAAATGGTTGGGGCATAGTCAAGGTGTACTCCCTTAACAGACAAAGTAGCAACCACAGATCCAGTAACGCTGAATGGAAAAGGAGATATAAATTAAGATGAAGAAGAAAACTTGTACTATGACAGGTGTCGAGTAGAAAATACAATTGAGAGCCAAGAAAAATACAGAAATTTCAGAGGAATGATACAGAAAGCATATTAGAGAAGCAAAGGGAGATTATGAGAAAAGACTGGCAGCCAATATTTCAATGCACTGATAAAAGTCAAGCCTTGCTAATGTTTCTCTGCAACATTTACCTGTTTCTGCACATAGTTCATTCTTGCAATAAATCCTGTAGATAGTTTATTTCATTTTCTCCAAATTTAGGATCCCTGAACTTTAGTTCACAGGAAGCACAGGCCTGCACATAAAAGCTGCTGCCTGCAGCAAACTGGAATAAACAAAGGTCCAATTTTATCTCCCTGAAAGTGGACAGGTTTTGAATGAGTTAAAATCTCTCAAAGGTATTCCATAGATTTGAAGTCTGGAAAGGACTGAGTTAGAATAGGACACAGCACAAAACACCGAGACACCTACTGCATTTTAAAACATATTCATTTTCTAAAGCAGGATTCTATCACTGAGAGTGGAAAACATGCAAATAAAAGTAAATTCCTCTGAAAGCTGCCACACTTCTCTATTAACGCACAACCCTTTCCAATTCCAGCAGAATTAATGCATCTGTCTTAAAGAAATATTTCTGGCTGGATTACGAATTACTTATGGCTGAGTGCAAGAGTAACATCACAATATTTTAACAATCAAAATAACTGACGAAGAGGCATGGATATAAAATTATGTATATATCATCTGTGGTGTCAGCTTGCATTTACCCAACTCTTGCCAGTTCGTAAGCTCTAAGAACACAAGCTCAAGATTTAAAACATTCAGATTCACATGCTTTAGGAAGCAGAGTTCTAGAGAACCATGCATGAGATTCTATCCAACATTAACTGATCTGTGTCCTATGTTATGCATTGCTTGATGTCTTGTTCAATCAAAAATGTCAGGGAGTTTGCATACTTCAATTTGTGCTGTTGTCTCATTTATAAAAACCATCAACATATTTCTGATGCAAATCAACACAATTGTTAAATTAACGTAAATGCAGGAATATTCCAATCAGGTTGATCATGGGTCAGACCAACCTACCTCAATCTTTTTGTGGTGATATAACTACCCGGTGAGGCTTTAATACCTTACCTGTTGCACGATTGTTGTTAATTCCAGACACAGCTGAACAATGTTATTTTTCAGAAGTGAGTATTCCGTCACACTAACGAATGGAGACCTAAAAACAGAATGAAGAACAATTCATTCTAAAACTACAGTGGCTGGTCCTGATTTCATGTTACAAAATAAAGGATCCTTACCAGCAAGAACTGCTAACACAAAATGATATAGCACACCTTATGCAAATAAATCACAAGTAACTTCACAATTAATAGAATCATAGAACCTTACAGCATAGGAAGAAGCCATTTGGGTCCATCTCACCTGAGCTGGCTTTTCAAAAGTGCAGTCATGCTTTGTCCACATCCCAGTTTTTACCCATAATCCTACATGCTTCTCATGCTCAGGTACCTGTACAATTGTTTTTTGTTATTTAGCGAATCAGCTTTTACCATCTTTCCCAGTCCAGATCCCATGACTCTTCAGTAAAAACATTTTGGTCTCTTTTTCCCACTTGAACTCCTGCCAATAATTTCAAGTTCAGCTCTTCTCATTGATGGCCTACTCTCAAAAAGGAAGCTTAATTAAAGTTCCCTTTGTCTGGTCAGATCCTGCTGTACTTCCTCTGTACACTTTCCAAGACATTTCTATCTTTCCTTTGGAGAAGTGCCTACAATTTTCCAGAGGTCAGATCATGCACTTCAAACACAACCTCTTTGCTTTTATATACCAATGCTCTGTTTACAAACCCAAGTAACCCACAAGCCTCAACAACCATCCTCTCAACTTGTTCTGCCACCTTTAAGGAGTTGTGCAAACAGACACAAAGATTTCTGTTCATCTACACTAGTCAAAATCATATTATTTATAGTGCACTGTCTTTCTATATTAGTCCTTCCAAAGTGCACCACTTCACATGTATCCACACCAACCTCCATACACCATGCTACATCCTATTTTGGTATCCAATCTATAAGATACTGAAGTCTACAACTACCCTCAACACTAGTTAACACGGTAGCAAGTTTCGTATTGTCTGCAGACTTAATGACCCTGGTCCCTACATGAGTTGCAAAAATTGCAAAAAAAAAGCACGAACTCCAAATTATCCCATGAGCAACATGACTGCAAACTACCGTCCCAATTTGCAAAACATCCAGTTATCATGCACCCTCCATAATTACAGGTACAGCAACAAAAGTTCCACTTATATAGCAACTTTAACATAATCCCAAAACACTAAGTTTGATACTGACCACACACACTTGGTCCAAAATGCATGTTTGAAGTAGCGTGTTAACAGAGAGAGGGAAAGGTGGAGAGACAGGTCGTGTTCCAGAGCTTCACGCTTGGACAGATGAAAATACGGCCATCAGTGGTGATGTAATAGATATTAGGGATGTGCAAGACCAGGGCTTGGGTAAGTACAGAGATCTGAAAAGGGTATGGCAAGATGTAGCTCTGCTGTCTCTCTCCTGACTCCAAGGCCCCATTGTGAAAATGGATGGGTCACCCAAATCAAAACACAGAGGCAGGACCCTCAGCCTTTGCAATGATCCAGCAGATTTGAGGTTCTTTCACTGTGGCTGGATGAGAGGAATGGTTGCAGGTAGGATAAATTATTGGACATGGCACCAAAAGTAATTTAACAGCGAAAATAAGAAAGAATGTACCGGTAGTAAGGGACAGTATACTGAGGGGGATTGATACCATTGTCCACAGAAAGGAGTGTTTAAGCAAGAACCCTACATTGCCTGCCCAGTACCAGGCTTGAGGATATCTGCTCAAAGCTGGAGAAAAACCACCCAGTCTTTGTGGCCCATGTTGGTACCAACAACATAGGCAAGGCAAAGAAGAAGGTTCTACATAGTTAGTATGAGGGTCTAGGCACCACATTACGAAGCAGAATTTCAAAGATCTCTGCATTATTACCTCAGCCACATACAAACTACGGCAGACTAAGTCAGACATGAAAGATAAATGCGTGGCTCAAAGGCAGGCACGGCAGGAGTGTTTGTCGGACACTGGGGCACCAATACTGGGCAAAATGCGTACAGTACCGATTGAACTGTCTCCACCTGATTCATGCTGGGGCCAACCAAATAACTAGGGAAGTAGAGAAGATTTTAAACCAGATAGTGATTTTGCTCACCCTGTAACTAAAGTTGGGCAAGTGGTTGACAAGTCAAACATTGTGACTGAGTCAAAACAGCTTGTGTTGAGTTGGGGCTTGGTGTACATGTGGAATTGATGTTATGGGATAATGTTGCCAAGGGGCAGCACGGGGAGGAGAAATCAGAGGGAGAGAAGGAGAGGTTTTTGGGAAAAATGTGAGGTGACAGCATTACGGCAGGAAGAGATTCCTTGCCTTTGACTGGATGGATATGAATGGAACACCCAAGGACAGGCAGTCCCAAACAGCAGGGCAACAGAGGAGAAGCATTAGAGGGGAACAGTGTTTTAAACCATGGTAAGGACTGGAGATAAGGTCAGAAGGATGGGAAAGTACAGCTTACCACAGTCACAGTTAGCTGGTGTATAATTTGCAGCTGGACAATCGTTGGTTCAGTATTGTGGCAGTGACAAAAGCCTCATTGGAGGGATAAAACGTGGGGAAAAAATGACCACGGATTTGGAAAGCAACAAGACGTTTCAGGAGTTTGGAAGGAATGAGGTGGCGGGGGCAATGGCAACCATGACTCAGCATTCCGTGAGAAGAAACGACTTTCAATGATTATTGTTAAATCAGTAATGCATCAGCAGGTTACCTGTCTAGCCAGGCCAATAAGTTCTTGGCAGCACCGATGAGGTCAACCACCGAGGTAAGGAAGTCATTCGGCAACCTTCTGGAAGCCCTGCCATCGTAATGGCCGCTCCTCCGCCTGCCCGTTATGAAATTCTGTAAGTTTTTGGCTGAAGCATTCAGCTTGTGGGAAAGTGTTCTGAGGTTCTCAGTCTCTAATCCGTAGTTCTGTAAGAGTTAAAAACATCAGTCTTAACAGCTAGTGCATCACAGGGCTTACCGCCAATGTTAGTCTGTAAGGGAATTAGGCTCAGAAAGAACGAAGGAAAGGGAGAACCTCCATTTACAATGACCTTGGCAGGATGCCCCAATGCTTTCAATTAGAACCAATGAACTACTTTTTAGGTCGCAATCCAACCCAATGTGACATCCCATGCAGTATTCCCTCAACTGCACTGAAGTATCCACCTTGATTATCTGTCCAAAAGTTCGGAATGGGATATTGACTCATGACCTACTGAAGAATGTAAGAACGTGGCATCAAGTTTTAAGCTTGCTCATGTTAGATATTTGTCTTACTTTTGGTTTAATTCTCCCAAACCTACGTTCTGCCATTCTCTTAAATAAGTGAGCCCTAACAATGTTACAAATGATGGTCCTTTGAGAATGAAGCTGGACACACACCAGAGAGAACAGATGCTCTTTGGAGCATATATTTAAGGGCTGGTCTTCCTCCGTAAAGGGGAGTTGGTCAGGGACAGGAGAGAGCAGATTCGAGTTTGTATTTGACAATAAAATGCAAATAAATAGTTGTGAAAGACAGACTGACTCCTGTCTTGGTAAATGGGTGACTAGCAATATAACATGCACTCTCAGTGATCAACAAGGATTCTAAATCCTCTTCATCTCCCTTGTTAGGGGCTGCTTCTATGGGTCTCTGCCTGTGGCTTCCTGCTGCGTTTCCCTGAAACTCAGCCTCCAAGCTGATGTAATCGATACAGTCTTCAAGCAGGAGTCAGGCCTGGAGGGTAAAAATGCCTCACATCAGCAAGCAGAAGTATACTTGATGCTTGCCTCACCAATCCCAAAGTTCAAATCACCTCCTGAATTTTAATCAGCTTGACATTTTAAAAATGAAATGGATCTTCTGGCTTGCTTAGTAAAAGCTAAGAGCAAGGGAATTTCAGGTGACATCATGCAATAAAAATTATAAAATATGTAGGCCATTTTGCATAAGAGGAGTTTTGACTGTGATAATTGTTAGTCCACTTTTTTTCTAAATTAGAGCTTAAATCCAATGTCCCAAACATGACAGACTCACTCACTTTGACAGAATTAAAATAGTCCTCACAAATTCACTTGAGTTCCCAGTTAGTTGATGCAGTAAACAATCCCAACTGCTTTCTGAATGTGTAGTGCAGTATCAGTCTTTCCCAGGATACGTCCAGTAGCTTCCAGTATAAGGGTCGGGGACTGTAGTTGCTTTCAAAACACAATCAATTACAATCAGGGAAAGGGATGGTTGCACCGACGTCGTTGTTGCATAGCAAGGAGAACCTGCCTCTTCCAATGGGATCTTTGCTTCCTCCGTTCTGTCTCCACTGCATCAATGACCAAAGCAAACACTACATGGAGTCTGGTGATAGCAGGTAAATCAATTTGAATTATTACCAGACACAGTACATTCACTTAGAAGCTATTTATTTTGCAGAATACTTTGCTGGCTGGCTTTTCAATTTGATTTGCCCTATAATAATTAACTTAATTGGTATGCAATCAAACTGTAGCATTCCATTACAGACCAATTTAATAATACAGTGCAGACCAATGGTAATTACCATGTTGCTGAAATGCCAGTAGTGTACTGTCAAATAACACTACTGTACACAGGCCATCCATGATGAGAGTATGAGCACAGTTATTTCTTTTCTTCTCTTTGTGGACTACACTGCAGTGGTAATTAGGTCCTACATTTGAAGTCTCCATTGACTTGTATAACAGCAGTTCAGCCAGGTGTTGACTGAGAGGACCTATTCACCAGTCAAGTCAAACAGCAGCAAAAGCAGTCCTTCTGCAGCTCCAGGCTCCAAGCTAAAATAGTGCAAGGCTGTGTTGGTACAGTCCCTCGTAACTATCTCTCCACCAAGGATGCTTCCCAGTTGCAGGTAGGAAGTAGGCTGCAACATTGATCAGCTGTCACCTTTTCGAGGCCAACTTCCTGTCAGGTTCTGGGGGCTGCCAGAGCTGCAGGATCCATGATTCACAGAGTAAGACTATCATTCCAAAAGTCCCTACCTGCAACAACCTTTTTAAGATTTGCTCACAGGATGTGGGCATCTCTGGGTAGGTCAGTATTTCTTGCCAATGCCTAGTTGTCCTTGAGAAGGTGGTGGTGAGCTGCCTTCTTGAACAGCTGCAATCCATGTGCTGCAGGTACAAGGCCATCAGGGAGAGGATTCCAGGATTTTGACCCATCAACAGTGAAGTCAGGATGGTGAGTGGCTTGGAGGGGAACTTGCCAGTGGCAGTGTTCACATGTATCTACTGCCCTTGAGCTTCCAGGTGGCAGAAGTCACGGGTTTATCAGGTGCAGTGGAAGGAGTCTTGGGAGTTTACTGCACACTGGTAAACACTATGCCACTGTGCATCAATGGTGGAGGCAGTTCATGTTTAAAGGTGCTGGATGAGGTGTCAATCTAGAGAGCTGCTTTGTCCTAATGATACTGAGCTTCTTCAGTGTGGTTGGAGCTGCACTTATCCAGGTAAGTCAGGAATATCCATCACACTCCTGACTTGTGCCTTGTAGATAGCAGACAGACTTTGGGGAGTCAGTTGTATTTATATGACTAGTCCAGTTCAGTTTTAATTGTAACCGCAAGGTATTGATTATGAGGGATTCAGTGATGGTAATGCCACTGAATGTCAAGGGGGCAATGTTTAGATTGCTGGAGATGGCCAATGCCTTGCATTTATGTGGCATTAATGTTATTTGTCACTTATCAGCAGAAGCTTGGATATTGCCCAGGTCTTGCTGCTTTTGGACATGGATTGCATCAGCATCATGAATTGCAATGAACATTGTGCAACCCTCAGAAAACATTTTCATTTTGGACATTACAATGGAAGGTAAATTATTGATAAAGCAGCTGGCTGATGTTTTGGACACAACGTGAGGAAGTCCTGCTGTGATGTTCTGGGACTGAGATAATTTACCAAGAGCCGTCTTCAGTTGTGCTAGGTAGGAGTCCAATCAGTGGAGAGTTCTCTTTCAATTTCCATTGACTCCAGTTCTGCTCAGGCTCCTTGATGCTACACTCTGTCAAATGATGCCTTGATGTCAAGGGCAGCCCCTCCTGTCCTCTGTTGCATTAAAAGTCACTGAGCTGTTAGTGAGTAAAACATTATGTTACCATAGTCTTACCAGGCCATAGGGTGCTCTCTCATTAGAGAGAGACGACTAGTGGCGGTTTAACTTGGGAGTCTCAGGCAAGGGGAGAAGGCGTGGTAACTTCTGCCAATGTGAGAACTGAACCCACACTGTTAGCATCACTCTGCATCACAAATCAGCCCTCCAGCCACTTGAGCTAACTGGACCCTCAGTTTGTAAATATGTGCGCAGAACGCATTTTTCAGCCTGATGTCAGGGTTCCAAATCCCACAGTGAGATTTAGCCTGTAGATTCAAAGTGAACTCCACTGCCCAATCTTCACAAACCTAAGGATGCATGGCATTAAGGGTAAAGTATTAGCATGGATAGAGGATTGGTTGGCTAACAGGAAGCAAAGAGTGGGGATAAATGAGTGCTATTCTAGCTGGCAGTCAGTGACTAGTGGAGTGACTAGTGGGGTGCCTCAGGGATTGGTGTTGGGACCGCAATTATTTACAATTTATATAGATCATTTGGCGTTGGGGACCACGTGTAGGGTGTCAAAGTTTACAGATGACACTAAGATGAGTGGCAGAGGACTGTGAAACTTTGCAGAGGAACATATATAAAATGAGTGAGTGGACAAAGGTCTGGCAGATGGAATACAATGTAAATAAATGTGAAATCATACATTTTGGTAGGAGTAATAGTACAAAGGATTATTACTTGAATGGTAAAAAGTTGCAGCATGCTGCTATGCAGAGGGATCTGGGTGTCTTTGTGCATGAATCACAGAAGGTAGGTCTGCAGGTACAACAAGTAATTAGGAAGGCAAATGGAATTTTGTCCTTCATTGCTAAAGGGATTGAGATTAAAAGCAGAGAGATTATGTTGCAGCTGTACAAGGTGCTGGTGAGGCCAAACCTGGAGTACTGTGTGCAGTTTTGGTCTCCTTACTTGAGAAAGGACGTACTGGCACTGGAGGGTGTGCAAAGGAGGTTCACTAGGTTGATTCCGGAGTTGAGGGGGTTGGCTTATGAGGAGAGACTGTGTAGATTGGGATTATATTCATTGGAATTCAGAAGATTGAGGGGGGATCTTATAGAAACATATAAAATTATGAAGGGAATAGATAAGATAGAAGTAGAGAGGATGTTTCCACTGGCAGGTGAAGCTAGGACAAGAGGGCATAGCCTCAAGATTAGAGGGAGCAGATTTAGGACTGAATTGAGAAGGAACTTCTTCACCGAGAGGGTTGTTAATCTATGGAATTCCTTGCCCAGTGAAGTAGTTGACGCTATTTCAGTAAACAATTTTAAAGATAAGGTAGATATTTTTTTGAACAATAAAGGAATTAAGGGATATGGTCAGAACGCGGGTAAGTGGATCTGAGTCCACGAAAAGATCAGCCATGATCTTATTGAATTGCAGAGCAGGCTCGAAGGGCCAGACGGCCTACTCCTGCTCCTAGTTCTTATGTTCTTATGTTTCCAAAACATAGCTGTCCACGGTCTGTGATTTGGGCAGCTCTGCGCCAACTGAAGATGTCCCAAGCACACATTAGAAACAGTGACATCGTTAGAAGCTGCACAGATGTGTTAACATTGAACTAGAAAGAATCTGCAGGCATAATGTTGCCTCAGTTGAAAATATGTTAAAACGATGAACTGAGGAGTCTGCCACTTAATTGTGCCTGAATACTTCACATTTCAATTACAGACTGAGAATCTGCCTCTACTTGTTTCAATAGTCAAGAACTGGAAGTGTAGACATATCGTAAAATGGTCATTGGTAATGGGAATAGCTAGTCTGGCAATAACTATAATAAGATAATAAAATTATGTTATACTGATACTTAATA